AGGGCATGTGTCTTTCCCACTTTAAAGCCAGTTTTTCAAGCAATTTTCATGAAAAATGTGAAATTTAGAACATTTCAATTAAATCACAGTCTCACTTCTTTGAAAAGTGTTTAAGCAAACTGGACAGTCACGTCCCTCTTCAAAAAATAAATCACTATAAGGTACTTTTCTGAGCCTATTAAGCAAATCTTCATGATTGACAAAACTATTGCTTTAACCTTTTGAAATAATCAATATTAAAGCAAAAAGAAGAAAAATAATAAAGCCAACTATAGCTACTATAAAAAGAATGGTCATTCTCACATAATGTATCAGTTTAGATTCTATAATACTGTCTTCTCCAGTAAGCTAATAATTCAAAAAGAATCCCTCTAGAAAATGATCAAATGCCTCGTAAATTGCATGAAGGAACAAATATACAATCAAAATCATCTATGCAGTTTAAAACCCATTTGCCCTTATACAAATTGAAATTATCTATACTATCCAAATTAATATCACAAAAGCTAGGACAACTCCTAAAGTTGTCAGAGTCCACTACTTTTCATTTATTGAAGCTTGTGTCTTAACATTTGTATTACTGATCTCTTAAATTAAATATGTTAATCCAGCAGTCACAATTGCTTACACTATAAAATGTTTGACTATTGGCAGCCAGTTTGTTTGTATTTGAGAAAATCTTTATCTGTTAATTGAAATACCGATATCTCTATGAACTTCATTTACTATTTGAAATCCTGGTCTCTGTGACATTAATTCTTTTTAAAATAAATAATTATTATTTAAAATTTAATTACCATTTCATCTGATTTTAAATGACTTTACTATTATATCATTAATTTTCCTGTGGTTAATCATTTTATTGGAATTAGTAATCTTCTAAGGGAAAAACTAAAGGATTAAGGGCGTCTCTCTAATTTGATGGGCCTTGATATATTAGATCCTGCAATTGTTATTATTCAATCTAGTCTTATTACTAATTCTACTAATTTATGTTATGATCTTCAGAGTTAGAGTTTATTATATTATGGATATCATTATTTTCGCTTCTTTTTCTATGTGATTTAGCCTTTTGCAAATCTTGTTTGCAAGAAGGGCATAATACTTCTATATTTTATGGATCTCAATTCATAGGTTGATTTTACAATTACCTTTTTATCCATTAAATAAGACATTCTGAGTGGAATATATGATAGCAATTTAGCCATCTTACTTTATTTTCATTCATATATTCACCTAGACAGATAACACAACAAGTTTATTGTAATTAATCTTTTTACTTGACCTAACTGTAAGTATACTAAGGGGCTAATTTAAGAATTTCATTTAATCTATTATCAAGATTTTATACCTAGATATTGGAACCTCTTCTTACAACTATGATTCCATCTCCTAGTCCTTACTCACGAATATCCCGATTAATATTATTTTCATTTCTTTAGTTAAAGCAAACTCTACGTCCACATTATGTATATCTGAAAGCAACTATAACAAGAATAATTCCAATAATTCCAACTCCAAAGCAAATAATAACTAATATAAAATCTTATAGTGGTGGTTTTTCATCTAAGTTCTCCTCGTCATCTTGTTAAGTAAAATTGAATGTATCTGCGTAGTAATTCTGTAATTTTGATATCGAAGGCATATTATTTTAGCATAAGAATTTCAATTTTATTTTCTATTACAAAGTGAGAAATATCAGTGAATCTGTACAATAGAAGCAAGATGGAGAGTCATAAGATAGAGAGTATGCTCCATTAGAGCATTACGCACATTATTTTAGTGATTAATCAAAATACTAGTCGTAAAAACATATTTCTTTAGACATGTAACTCGACAGACTGTTTTTTTAATACTTTATTAGAAAGTTAGAGTTAATTGATGTATATTTATAGGTCTCATTTTCTGACGCAATTTTTTATTCTTCTTATATGAATTTCACTTATTCTAAGTTATCTATCATAAGCTCAAAAAGATAAAGATCTTAATAATTTTTTTTTTATATTTGATTTCCTTTATAATCTAGGCTTGAATTATTAGTCTGATAAAATAAGTAGTGATGATAATCTCTAGAAATTAGAAAAACTGGCTCATTTTATAATTCATCAAAGTAAGGATTATGCTGATAAAGTTCTTATGCGATTGATATCTAATGCAGCAGAGTTAGGTTAGATTTAAAATATATCAATATTTCTTTTTAATCGTAGCAGTACAGCACTATTAGTTTAGAATTAACCAGAAAATCTGATAAACATTTTCCCTCAATTTAATTACTCTAAATTTTCGTTATTTGCCTATTCACTTTTGAAAACTGATATTGCTGAATAAGTAATCGTTTTCTAGTAGTCTGTCTCTACTAAATTACTATAATTTCATATTCAAATTAGGATATTCTTAAAACTTTTAATTTAGATTGCTCATAATTTTAAAGGTTTAATTTCATTCTACTTAGCTCAGTATTGTCATTTTGAGAATCTAAAATTACAAAAGTATCTTCTAAAGTTTGCTTGTTATATATCTATTATATTTCTATATTGGTATCATAAAATAGCCTAAGTACCAAAACATTTAATCCGTATTTAGGAATTAGCTAAGATCTTATTTTTTATTTATTAACGAATTAAATCTTTTAAGTTCTCTGATCGTTCTGATCTGATCTATTTGCATAGACAACATTCATAGACCCTCTGTAGGAATATAAATCTTAGTAATATACCAAGTCCTAATTTGGTAACATTACTAAAACTTGTTAATTCACTTTTTGTTCATTTAATACCCAAGTTGCATCAAACAAATAAGTTAAATTGTATTTGAATTGTGAAGAATAAGGTGATATTGTATCCTTTTAAGAGCAAGCCATAAATACCAAGAAATCTCCGATAACTATACAATTTTATGTCAAACTATCACCATATGCAAAATCTAAACTTTGCGGCATTCTTTGAGTCACAAAGTCAGAGTTTGAAAGTTTAATAGAAATAATCTATTTTGATAAATTAAAAATCAGAAATAGCAGGCTAAGCATAGAAGATTTTTGCATTTTCTTATTAATTTATTTGGAATACAAAAGGAAATTTAATATTTATTTTTATTCCCAACATAATTGGAATGAATAAATGATGGGGTTTTGGGGTTTTGGGGTTTTGGGG